TCAGTGCCTTTTCTTTTCTCCTCCCCTTCAAAAATACCCATGATTTGGATGTTTGTGTGCTTAAGGTTGTCTGCCATCTCTTTTAGAATTTCATTATTTTAATTTTTTTTTTGTCTGCCTGAGTTATTTTGAAGAGACTTTTTCCAGGATCAGAAATTCTTTCTTCCGCTTGCTCCAACCTACTGCTTATGCTCTCAGTTGTGTTTTTTTAGTCGAATGACCTCTTTAGTTCCATAAGTTCTACTAGCTACATTCTTTTTTAAAGTATTAATCTTCGTAAATTTTCTCCGTCATATCCTGGACAGCTTTTCTTAGTTCACTGCATCATATAACTGGGTCTTCTTGTTTCTCATTGAGTTTCCTTAAAATTTTTACTTAGAATTCCTTTTCAATCACTCCAAGATTTTCCTGCTCTTTGGAGTCTGGTACTTGAGAGTTATTGTATTTCTTTGGTGGGCTCATATTTCCTTGTTTTTTAATATTTCTAGTATCTCTATGCTGATGTCTGGTCATCTGGTAGAGCAGTTGCTTCTTCTGTTACTCTTCTGCTCTGGACTCCACTGGTGACTCTCCTTGTGTCAGTGCAGCTGAGTGGTTGGTGATCTGCCTGCATGGTGCCAGTGGCTGCTGTGGTTTCTGCTGTGGTAGCAGGCTGCCCTTGCAGTGGTGGTGGTTGTGGTGGTGGCTTTGGTGGGCTGCCTGCATGGCATCGATGGCTCCAGTGGTGGTGGGCTACTCATACATCAGTGGTGGCTGCCTGGCAGTGCTGATGGTGGCAGCAACTGCAGCAGTGGTGGTTGCAGCAGCTGCCCCCTTGGCTACAGTGTCTGCAGTGGTGGCCCACACAGCTATGGCGTCTACAGCAGCAGCACGGTTGCCTCGTGGTGCCAGCAGTAGAGTTAATGGCTCAACAGCCTCCCTGGCATCTGCAGTGCCTGCAGCAGCAATGGGGTTTCCTTGTCGGGGTGGCAATGGCATCGGTGGCTGCAACTGGAAGGCTGTTTTTTGAAACATAGCATCTAGCTTTTATTCAAGCCAAAGATTACAAATAAAATGATTTCCACACAGTATGCTCTTATATCAGTGACCCTGGATTATTCAAAACATCTAATTAGGAAGCAGAGTTTTACTTAAACAAGTATACGTAATTATTAAATGAATGTATAAATGGGTTCATGGGCAAATGGATGAACAGATTAATAAATGGAGGGATAGGTAGGTAGGTAGGATGAGGAGAGAAAGAGAGAGACGGACAGACAAGACAGACAAACATTTTGGGAAATGTTGTTATTGCCACTCACTACCTCTGTGTCCTTGAAAATAGTACTTACTCTTTCCAAGCCTCAGTTTCTTCCCTGTAAAACTCCATATCTGTTGCTGTAAACATTAAATTAGGTATTTCATAGAAACACAGACAGTGACTGGTGCAGAGTTTCCATTGCACTAAGTTTAGCCATTGGTGTTACTCTAAGGATTATTTTACTTTTTAGAGGATATTATGTCTTGAGCTATAAAACATGCTTACAGTAGGCTCATGTTTATTTTACTCAATTGGAAATTTGTGCACCTGTGTATATAATCTTGTTTCAGTTTGTTGATCCTATCGAATGGATAGTGTTGTCATGTCTCCTTAGAGTTTGAGTAAAATAGATTTTGCTATAGAATTATTTTTTTAATTTTAGGTGAGCAGATTTCAAATATTAAGGTAAAAGTGAAATGGTTAAAAACTTAAAAAACATGTTTTAAGAAATTTCCATTAACGTTGTTTTGATCGTGAACCATTTTAATAATCAGAGTTAAGCTAAGAATTCTTTCCACGTACATAACTAGAACATTTTTCAGTGAATTTGTGGAGATTCACAGATGTGTTGAAGCACAGTCATAGGCCAGCTGAGAAGATGTGCAAAGATACCTGAGACTGTGTCTGCAGATTCCAGTGAGAAGCCGAATGGAGGCAGACCAGTATCACAGGTGACATCTGAGGGGGTCATGGATTAATTCACATTTCAAAGGTAGCTCTTTCTGCATTGGAGCACAGCCATGCACATAAGTGCGATCCTCTACTCTAAGTGGGCAATGAGCGACCCAGTCTGGGGAACCCTGGTCCCCTGTGTACCCTGGCAGCCTCTGGGTACTGATAGCAGAGTGGGCTCCCTTGTCCATGCCCACAGGACCTGTAGGTACAAGGAAACTAAGAACAATCCCAGGAATACTGAATCCCAGAATGAGCTAAAACCTAAGAACACATCCAGGCATTAAATAGGGTTATTTAAATGGTTTGGAATCTGAAGAAATAAGGGATAGGATAAATGAATAGATTCTCTTAAGAGATAAAACAAAAATGCCCAGTGGCAATTTTTTTTCTTTCTATCAAAGAAGGTACAATATTTGAACAGTAAAGAGGGGAGGAGGAAGAATTAGCACCAACAGGTAGAAAGTAATACCTAAAAATATCTGAAAGGAAAGAGATTTGCTTACGTAAAAATTTGAAACCTTAGGAATATATTTGGTACATAGTTAGTACTAAAAGATTATGAACTTGAGGTCACAGAATCCTGTTTGATGTCTTGGGAAATTCACAAAGTGTGGGGAATGGGCCAATTTTCAAAGGGGTACCCCTCCATAAATGCCAGAATACTTGTGAACAGTGTGCCAATCTCCTTCAAATTCTAAAATCATTATAATGATCCTGTATTATATTTTAACTAAAGAGTGGAGATTAAATCCAATGTAGGTTTTAGAAAAAAAAATTGTGCTCTATAAGCCAATTTAGTTTTTTTCTTTGAAAATAAAAAGAGACAGGAAGACTAGAGCTGCTAATATGTTAATTTGAACCAAGTGTTTGAAAACTATCTAATGAAAATGTAGTTTAAAAAAAGTGGTGAAATCATAGGTGGTTGAAAATCAGGCTCAAAAACTGTTCTTTGATGTAGCAATAGGAACTCTCTGGTGGATCATTTAGGACTCTGTTTCTTTTTTTCATAAATAATGCTGTGATCTACTTGTCAGATATTTAAATGACACAATCCAGTATGGAAAGCTTAGTAATAAGTAATTCTGAGCAATCTGTAGTGGAGCAGGAGTGGTGTCTAGGTGGTAGTTAGACTCGCAA